CAGGGGTTTTTATCTATTAACGGTTTCCCCTCGAGAATTAGAGAAGGACTATTGCCTAGGTGGCTAGCCTAGCTTAGCTAAGCGAGAACAGCGTAATAAATAATAATATTATTAGTAGTATCCTTAGTATCGGAGAGGTTCCTTAGAGTATTAAAGGTGCCTCTCCTAACTCTATGCTTTATAGTAGAGGATTATAGGCTGTTTATATTACTAAGAACCGCCCTTAGAGCCTTTACGAAGTCGTTAATCGTTAGTTTATTATCCGTAATCTTATCGTAGTTATTAACTAGGTAATTATTACTTTATTCCTAAGTAATAGGTCTAATAGCTTTTAACACGTCTTCCGCGTAATAGTCCGCGCTTAATAGCTCTAAAACGCCTATATATTTCTGGTATATTATCGCTATTTTCTAGCTTATAACCCACCCGTCTATATCCTTAGGTATAGCCTTTATAGGCGTAGTGTATTATCGGTATAGGACTAAGGCTTCCTTCTAAAGGTCTATAAGGGTTAGTTATACGTACGCGTGGAGAAAAGTAATCTAGGCTTATAGGTTATTTACGGTAATATCCTATAGCTAGGCGAGGAGGTTATATAATATAGTATCAACGGTCTCTTTAATATATAAGTATACCTTAGTAAACTCCTTTTACTATACTTCGTAATTAGCCTTTTCCTAGCGGTATACACGATAATCTTATAGGTAGCGCGTACGCTCCTTTTCGGAGAGGTTATCGATAGACGTAGGCGTCTTAGTCGGTGGTTCTTTTATTACGGCCGTAGCCTTCCGGCGAGCGGCTATTTTTTTCTTACCGGCGGCCGTGGCCTCTATAGTACCGGCTATAGTAGCTATAGCGGCGGCGGTGTCTATAGCCTTTATAGCCTTATCGCTCTTTAGCGTAATAGTAGAAGATGTAGTAGCCGTGGCCGTGGCCTCCTCCGCGTTTAGGTCTATAATAAGGGCTTTATATTTACGAATATTAGGTGGAATAGGCTTAAGGAGTAGGTAGGTATCGGCCTCCTTATCGCTTAGCTTTAGATTAAGATAGTTATTCTAGTAGGAGGTAGATTTACCGCGTATGGCGTGCTCCTATATTACTTGATCCCTTTAGTTAATAAGGGTAGTAGCGGCCGCCTTCTATTCGGCGTTAGATATATTAGAAGATATCTTTACTAGTTTAGTATTTATCGGTTAGTTAATTAATAGATAGGTTAATTAATCTCTTAATTACTCTGATTAGGTTAATAATAGTTCTTTAAGAGTGTTTATATAAATATAATTACTTTTTATAGTAGAATAGGGGTAGCCTTATTAATATCTATCGTTTAGGCGTTATAAACCGGGCTTATAACTATCGTATATTAAATAGCACTTATATAATTAACTTAGTAGAGTAAAAATCTTATATATATATATTATAGTAAGTTATATCTCTAAGAGTCCTTTATACCCTTAATTTAGGTAGTGAAGACTCTATTATAGGTATTATATTATTTAGATCCTATCCGGTCTTTTCCGGTATCTGCCCCTATTATATCCTGATACCCGAGGTCCCCTATATCCAAAGCCCTTAGTTATAGCGTGGATCCCCCCTGGATCCCCTATAGACCACGTCGTAGTCCGTGTGCCTATACGATAACTTTGCTCTAAAGCCCTAAAGTAAAGAGTATAGTTATATCTATTAACCTAAATACTAGATTTCTGTAATAACGCCTTTTAAATAATATTTGTATAAACCCCTTTAACTATAGCTACTTTCTTTAGCGTTAAATTATGCTTTATATCCCCCGATATATTCTTGAAAATCTCTTAAAGTACCCGTGTACTATATCTAAGGATTAGAAAGATTATTATACCCGTTTTAATAAAGTCTCTATTAGTAGGCTAAAAAGAATTAGGCTTTAGAAGATCTATAGAATTAACTATATAGAAGGCACTATAGTTATCTAGCAGAGTCCTCTTCGAGAGTAAATATATATCCGCCGTAATTATCGTAAACACACTATATACTTTAGAACTATCCTTAAATAGCTTTAGGTCTATATAAACCGTAATAACGTATCCTAAATACTTTTTCGAGTTTTCCGAGTTACTAATCTACCTTTTATCTACTAGCTATTTATAAAGTGCGCTTTACTATAGCTTTTATAGTTCTTTAATTATCTTATTGTGTTAGTCTTTAGTAGGCTTAGAAAGCTTCCTAAACGCTTTACCTATAAAAGAGAACTTAAGTAAACGATAATCCTTTATTTTATAAGCGTGCTATTTACGCTTATAAGGGTAGCTTTAAACTTTTTTAGGTTAATCCGACTAGTTTCCGAGGGCTATATATACTCCTATACTATTTTTAGTATTACTTTAGAGTTATTAATATAGTTAAGGAACGATTAACCGGTATATAAAAGATCTGGTATTTTATTACTAAGCTTAGCCTTACTAACTTTAAGTATCTTAGATATAGATTACTCCGGAGCGTATCTTTTAACTACTTAAACGAAATCGCGACTTATAAGAACCTTATTTACTTCCGTTTAACTATAGTTTTTAGCTTATATTAGTTATTTAATCTAATCTTCGTACTAAACCTTAGGCTTTTTAGTACCGCTTTACGCGGTATAGAGGATAGCTTAATCATTATTCTAGATTATTATAAAGATAGTTAGCTTAGATAAGGCGTATTTATATTAAAGAGCTCGGAGTAGCTAATAAAAAGAGAACCGATTATTCCGAACCGAGGATATAAGACCCTAGGCCTTAGTTTTCTTAATAGCTTCCGAAACCGCGATCTTAAACCTAGATAGATTCGTGGTCTTACGAAGAAGCGATAAGATAACTTTAAGCTTTTTAGTAGTAGGCTAAAATTCCTTTTTCCTTAAAACGGAGTTTTAGAGTACTTTATCGAAAGCTTTATTAAGAGTATCCTAAGAAGATTCGATTATTTATCCGGCGGATATAGTTCGAGTAAGCTTCTTACGAATAGATTACTCGGAAACGGGTAAGATCTCCGGTAAAATATTATTAAAGCGATTAAGGCTATTAGGATTAAGTATATACTATATCTTTAGAGTACGGGCAGAACCGCGTATAGCTAAGAACTAATCGATCTAATATCCTGAGTATTAGAGCTTCGGAATATTAGATACGTTAACTATATAATCGAGTTAAAGAGAGAGGACTATAGCTTAGAAAGGGGAAAAGAAGTAGTATAGAGACGTATAAGGGTTAGGGGTTAAAAAGAGTTAGAGGAAGAAAACTATAGCTTAGAAAACTATTCATAAGTAACGGAAATTACTAGTATGAATATTACCCGGGCTTATAACTATCACGAATAAAGGGCGAATAGCTAGCTAAAGTTATAAAGAAGAGTGGAGAAAAGGAGGATTAGATTACCTTATAGGCCTCCTATAAAAGCCTATAATATAGTTCTAGAAAGCTCCTTATATATAGACTTTCTTTAACTAATTAGATCCCTTTATTCTGCTTACCTTACTAAGCCTCGTAAGAAAACAAACTAAGGATACACAAAGACTAAGGTAAGCACGAGGTCAGATACTATAAGCTAAGCGTGGCTAGCCCTGTAATCTCAACAAGAATCCATCTTGACCCTTGCCTTTTATTAAGGTAAGTACCTAAGGTAGGTACTTTTCGTGGTCGTGTTTGCCTCTTCCTGATTGGCCCAAAGGAAGCCTGACCATCCCTCGCCGGAACGCGTTAATCAAGTCGTTGCCACACGCGTTCAGCATCACCTCTCTGTCGACGTTACTTCGTGCGAGCTTCTTCAGCCACCAAGGCTAAAGACATCCTCGACAACTGAATCTCGGAGCGAAGACCGAGAAGTTCGAAAAAGAAAAAAGAAAAGAAAAACAAATCCGCCATGATCCCCATCCCGCAAGACTACAACCACGGCCACCGAGCCTTCCTGCAGTCCTTTATGGGCCGGGGAACATTATCATACGAGGACGCGAGGCCGATCCTCGCCGCAATTTTCACCATCGAGGAGAATGAGCCGGTGACTCCAGATCAGGTCACACGGGAGGACTTCGACTCGTACATAGAGGCTGCATCGAACGCCATCTCGTTTTTCGACTACGAGATTAGGAGTACCGTGCACCAAGTCACCAAGAAGCCTCTCTTCGTTCTCGTTAACACCACATCGGACCCAATGACGCGCCTAGCTACGACGTATACGGCCGAAGAAATCAGTTTCGTCAGGCGCATGCTCGACGCCATGTTCGACTCGTACAACACACCACGCATGGAGGTCATGTCCCTGAGCGAGATGGATGCGATCAAGCTGGCCAGGCCATCCCCGCGGCGCAATAACGGGGAAGACGTAGACGGCGAGGGGCCCGATGGAACGCAGGCGCGAACCCAGTCCACCGATAGGGGCCTGAAACACAGCGAGGTGGAGAAGATGCTAGCCAAACTGGTCGGCGAAGGTTGGCTCGAGAAATCAGCGATAGGGCGCTATTCCCTCAGTCCAAGGGCGCTGGTGGAGCTGAGGACGTGGCTGGTAGACTCCTTCAACGACCCGGAGGCCGCACCGGGCGAGTGGCAGCGGATCAAATTCTGCGAGGCCTGCAGGAGCATTGTCACGCACGGGCAGCGGTGCGCGGAAAGGGACTGTACCGTACGCCTCCACGATATCTGCGAGGAGGCTTTTTGGAGGACGCAGCGGGCCAAGAAATGCCCGCGGTGTTCGACCGAGTGGACGGGCCAGAAGTTCGTGGGCGAGCGGGCTGTGACAACCACCGAAGCCTATCAAAGAGCTCGGAGGAACGGTCACCGCAGAAGCCAAAGGGGCGAGGCAGATGGCAACAGGGACAGTGGCGAGGACAGCGACGGTCGCGGAGAAGAGTGAGGCGTTAAAGAAAGAAAGAAACAAAAGAGAAAAATAAAGATGGCGCGCCGTATCAAATGGTCTTCAAAGCCTGGCTGCAACGGTGGACTAATACGTGGAAGAAAGAAACCCGGCCACATGCACACCCTTACACCTACGGAATAGCAGTTTCTGCGGCGGAGTCGACCATGGTTTCATGGACGACCAGCTCGACGAAGCCGAGCAAGCCAACCCAGCCTGTGGAGGCCCCTAGGTGTTTAAAGGATTATCGTCTCGTCACAGTCCCATTATTGGGGAGAGATGTGGAGGAGACATATGGTGACTGCTTGGACTTCTCAATGCATAAGCCAGTTCAAATGCAGGGTTGGTTGGACCTCGGAAGTCGATGGCGGCGGTTGCAGTGGTCACTGCAGTGGTCCTGCAGGGTAGCGAAGATCTCCAACCCGCCATACCGCTACACCAATGAGGGTCCAGGAAAAGTACCTGTTGTGGGGCATTTTGGGGGGGAGGGAGGGAGGGAGGAGACACCAGGTCGTTTGTGTGGGCGAATGACATCATCTGCTCATACCGGACAGCCGTCCGTAAGGTACCTTAGGTACTTAACATGTACCTGCTCGTACGTTGTACATCATGGCTGGCCACAGTGATGCGTGCGCGTAACTCGGGTGGCTGAGCGAGCTCCCTCCCTCCCTCTCTCCGCCATGAGAGTGATAGGTACCTCAAACACGACAAGTCGGGCCAAGCGCCTAGCAAAACGACCCCAGAAAAGAGAGATGCTAATAAAAGACAAACGCCACCTTTGACGACTAGAAACGCTGTTTTCGCCTTTCATCTCTCCATTCTCCCTCTGGCTGGTCTTATTCCCTTTTCCCTCGTCGACAGTCCCAACCTCTTTGACCGACTCGTTTATTTCTCCTTTTCTGCTGTACGCCGGAGCTGCAACTTTCCTAGCGAAGTTCTAGCGAAGAGGACATAAATATCATCCCACCGCCACTTCATTCCTGTTGTCATCTTCCAGCGACTTACAAGTCCTGCCGTCGCAATCAGCGGGCAAAATTCATATCAAGCTCCTTACCTTGACTTTTCTCACTCTTCTTACTCTTCTTTCGACACAGCCATCAAAATGTTGGAGTACATGAGCTATCAGAAGTACAAGAAGTACAAGGATAAGAAAGAGGCGAAAGAAGCAGAGGAGAAAGCCAGGAACAACGGTAGGCTGCCCGAGCCGAAACTAGATGCTCCTGGGCCTGTCCTATCAAGCGACGACGAGGCGTTTCTGGAAGCCATACTGTCCAGCTCCGACGAGGGTCTTCCTCCTCCTCTTCCAATGCGCCCGACTTTTGATCGCTCTTCATACTCGGACAACTCATATCTGCATTCCGACTCGCGTGACAGGATGAGCGATGACGTCGCCAGCACCAGCGCCAGTACGACTACCGCCACCAAATCCAAAACCAAAGAAAAAGAGAAGGTGAAGAAGAAGCGCACTTCACACAATCCGATTTCCTTCCTCCTCAACCGCAAAGACAGGGAAAAGGACATGCAACTCGTCCCCGTCGTACCGCTCGAAGAGGCGGACCGAGAGCGCGAAGACCTGAGCCGCGTCCTCGAGGACCTCAACCTCAGCGCCAAGAACAACAAGGCGTTCGCCCTGTCCGCCGAGTCCAACGAACTGGTCCGGAAGTTCACCCTCGTTCTGAAGGACCTTGTCAACGGCGTCCCCACCGCCATCGACGACTTGAAAAACCTCATCGAGGATCGTGACGGCACCTTGAAGAAGAATTACGACAAGTTGCCCTCCAGCATGAAGAAGCTCGTGGCCCAGCTGCCCGACAAGGTGTCCGAAAATATGGGACCCGAGTTTATGGCCGCCGCTGCCAGGGGCCATGGCTTGAAGGCCGACGAGGTTCCCCAAGGCAGCTCCATGAAAGACGCCGCCAAGTCTCTTTTCATGCCCAAGAACCTGCAAGACATACTCACGAAGCCCACTGCCATCATTGGCATGCTGAAGTCCATCGTCAGCTTCCTCAAGCTCCGCTGGCCTGCCTTTATCGGCGTTAATGTGGTTTGGAGCGTGGCAATATTTCGTATGTCCCCCTGCGTCCTTTTTCCCTTTCACCTTTTTTTTCATCTTCTCATTGCCGCTCGGAATTACTAACGCAACACCTACCTCTAGTCCTGTTACTCGTGCTTTGGTATTGCCATAAGCGCGGACGCGAGGTGCGTCTTGAGCGCGAGAGATCAGCACAAAGCATCGACGGTCGCAGTCGCGTGGAAGAGCTTCCCGACGACCCGATGCTTCCTGCTCCCTCGTCGCGGAGATCTTCTCGTGGCAGCGACTCCACTCGCAGGAGTTCTCGCCACCATAGCGGTACCAACACCCCTAGGATTGACGAGAATTCTGTCCGTGCAGGCCCCCGGCGCCGCCATACTCAGAGATAAAAAGACGACATGACTCCATCATGACACTTGGCTCTCTTTGGTCTGGGTTGGGCGGAAAAGGATACCTCTCATAGATGATACCGTCTTTGTAGATTTTATTGCATGGGAAGCATTTCTGCTGGTTTTTTTTTATGGTCTTTTTGGGGGTATATCACTGGGTCAGTCACAGGCCATGACTGGCTGATTTTTGGTTTGTCTGCGTATCTGGACTTTGACGAGGACATAATGGCAGTAACGAGTTATGACATTTTCTTTGCTAATCTCTTTGAATACATGAGATATATTACAAGACCATTCTCCGTCCTAAACTTCAGGTACCGTTCGTCTCTGTCATAGTCGTGAGACACAACAACGCCGAATATGCTGATTTACCTCCCAGGGTATCTTCAAACAGGGCGGTGGACAAAAAAAAACCCCCAGGAATAAAAAGAAAAAGAAAAAGAAAAAGAAAAAGAAAAAGAAAAAGAAAAAGAAAAAGAAAAAGAAAAAGACGAGACAGATAATACAAGTAGGACCCGGTCCCACCCCTTAAACCCCTTGCCATGCGCAGCTTGCTCGTACATAACGTTTATACATCTGACATAGACATCTAGTCATCCTGAACAACTTCTTTGATTTCCTCTCCCCCCGGCGCCATACCGGTGGAGTCGGGCTTGGATCCATCCCGACCTGATCGGTCAATGACCTTGGCACCGTCCTGCATCCAAAAGTCAACCTCGTCGATAATATCGAACACGATATCTTCGACAATCTGCTCGGTATACCGCTCCGATACAGGGCGCAGAGCCGCGAGACCAGTAGTAGCAGTAGCAGGAGGAGTAGCGGAGGAAGCTGCTCCGTTTGGCCCTTCGTACCCAGGTGGCGGGTACCAGAAATCGGGCCCAAAGTTGACCTCTGCGGCGCCGCCGCGGAATACGCTGACGGCAGGATAATAACCGAGTGTTCCATCGTCGAGACCCTCGCGGGCGCCTGGAGCAGGAAGGGGCCTAGATGCCGGCGGGAGGAAGGCGAGAAGGTTCTCAAAAAGGGTCCCCATGAACACGCCATTCTTGTAAACCTTGATGTATGAGCCCGGCAGAGTCCGGAGGGCAGGAATAGAATGGGTGGGGTGCGGGTTTGCCTCCGTAGACGAGGCCATGGCGGTGCCAGATCCCGAGCCAGAGGAGGTAACAACTGGGGAGGGGTTCATGAGGTCCTCGAGCTCCCTCGTAGTGTGGTAGTCGATCTTCTCAAAATAGATATGCGCCTTGAACCGGATCGGGATGCGGTCGCGTACAATGTTGGGCGCCTCAGCGGTACGTTCGCCGTAGTTTTCGCCTATGCCCTGTACCGAGTCGATGCCCGCGTTGTATTGGCCGGTGATGACCTTGCGGTGCAGGCGCTCCGAAGGCAGCTGAATCTCCAAGCCGAGCACGTCGCCCTCGCAGAGATCCTCGCCCGGCGGGAAGAAGGGCTTGGGGCGCGACATGTAGACCTTCTGACCCATCTTATCGCGGAGGCCGTAGCTATACGCGTCGAAACCGACAGGGGCGTCGACGGACGCCTCGCGCCGGGCAAAGCCCATGCGCACGTGTCCGTGTGGTTCGGGTTCGCCATTTCCGGCGTCGTTCTGCTGCGGCCGTAGAATTCCCCTTGTTATCTTGCATTCCCAAAAAAAGCGACCCTCACGGATGGCCACGTTGGCGCGTGTCATGCGGAAACCTTTCTCTGTAGTAACGTGGCGGCCTGACTGGTCGAAGAACATATGGGTGGCCGAGTCCTCGAAGCTGAGATGCGGCCCGTACGGCTCGGGTTCGGTCTGACGGTAGAAGAGAGAAGAGGGGAAGGCGGGGTCGGCTATGCAGTGGGTGTAGTGATAACTCTTTTTGTTGTAGACACTGTCGAGGGAGGGCACCACCAGTAAGCCATGGGCTCCGAAGACTTCCTTTGCCGCAAGAGGCAAAACTTACTGGTCCGATGTCTCGAAGAACTCAATCTTCCCTCCGCCTTCGAGGGCCGGGACGTCATGGTGATGGATGAAGACGGGGCCTCTAGCAGGATCGAAGTCTATCTGTTTCGCTGGTGGCAGCTTATACCGCAGAGGGCTCGACTCACTCGGGTCTTCCTGGACTGCTAACAAGTTCTGACTGTGTTTCCCGTATTTGGGGTCCGGTGTCGCACGACTGCTGTCTATGCCCTTCGACTCTCGCTTCTTGAACGTGTCTTTCTTGGTACGCTTTGAGGGCATCTGCATCTCGTCGATGGTTTGCGACTGCGATGGCGGTTGAAGTTGTACCTTGGGCGTGGCTCGAGCTTCTGGATTGAGAGGAGAAGGTATACATGGACTGTGGTCTTCATCTAGCGTTCGCTTCTGTGGGATAGACGAAGCCGGAGAAGAAGAGCGAGCGGTGGCAGCAGCAGCAGCAGCCGCAGCAGCCGTAGCAGTGGCAGTGGCCGCCTGAAGACCGCTCGCGGCTGCCTCGTGGGACATGGCTCCTGCCTCTGAGCCCATGGTCGCGTGAGGTTGTTCAGAGTATTATTGGGCCGAGGAGGTGATGCGAATAGGAGGAGACGTTTGCTTTCATCTAAGAAGAAATGGAGCGGAATTGCAATTGCTGTCAGCACGCCTAGCAGCTAGCTGTGTAGGTATACAGAGCTCTCGGACTTGTTCGACGACACACGGTGTAGTAATAAGGTACGTATGAGTATCTACCTACGTACATTCCACGCGAAGGTACCTACCTTGTGTACTCCGTAGACCTAGAAGGTAGTGGGGCAGCAGCAAGCGCCCCCCCC